TCGGGTTTGCCAGTTTTGTCGGGTTTGCCAGTTTTGTCGGGTTTGCCAGTTTTGTCGGGTTTGCCAGTTTTGTCGGGTTTGCCAGTTTTGTCGGGTTTGCCAGTTTTGTCGGGTTTGCGAATCTCGCCGGATTTGTTGGATTTGCTGGATTCGACGATTTTGCCGGTTTTGTCGGTCTTACCAGTTTTGGGCGCTGTTTCTGGCTGCCTTGGGCTGTTTTGGCGCTCTGTTTAGGGGCCCCTTGCAGTGGTTTTTGGGGCGGGTCTTTGGGATGAATATATGGGCCAGACGATGGAGCAGGCCTCGAGCACGGGATGGCCAGCGGGAATAAATAAGGTCCGGTGAAAAAAGAATTTGTCTGAATCACCACAGATTGGCACAAAAAAAAGACGATCACGGCTAATTGTATGTTAGCCAGCCCCACACTTTTGCAGTTGTTACTTGGTGGAGGGTTCATTGGACCCGCACGCTCCCTCGGGCCGCGGTCTGTGTGCAGGACCGCGCCCGCCATCCCGGGTGTGCACACACGTGGTTTGTTGGGCCCGGGGTGCCTGGGTCCGATACGAAGAGAAAGGCGGCGTGGCGCGGCCTACCCAATTCAGCGCCGGGGCCGTTTCTGTGTGGGGAGCCATACAATTTTTAGGCTTTCTTGGATTGGGTATTTTTTGGATTTCATTTGTTTTTGTTTTTTTTGTTTTCTTTATTTGTTTTTGATTGTTCTTTTTTATCTGTGGCTTTCTATTTGTTTTTTTTATTTGTTTTTTTTATTTGTTTTTTTTATTTGTTTTTTTTATTTGTTTTTTTTATTTGTGGCTATATCCAGTGGGCGGTTTATAGTTGGTTTGTAGCTGTTCGCGGCGGGCGGTGTTTGATGAAGTGGTTTTCGGGTTGTTCTGATGGACTGTTGCATGGCCTGTCTTCGGGAATGGGGGAGTGGCCTGTTGATGGTTTTTTCGCAGTACCATGACTGCCTTGTAAATGATACCGCGCACTGCGTGGGCTACTCCGTCGTGCCCAGTGAAGCATGGTGGTACGACTATGTGCAATCTGCCATCCGATTCGGGTACAACAAACTTGGAGCTCCGACTTCCCAATTGTCTGCGGGAGTGCTTGGAACCCAGCGTGATTCCATGGCGGGGTGTCCTCTTCACCCTGACGTTAGACTCGGATACGGATTTCGGAACGACACCTCGTTTACGTGTCGTTGTCCATTCTAGTCTGCGTTGTCTGTCCTAGTCTCTGTTGTCTTTTGTTGTCCTTCGCTGTCTGTCTTAGTCCTTCGTTGTCCTTCGTTGTCCTTCATTGTCCTTCATTATCCTTCATTATCCTTCATTATCCTTCATTATCCTTCGTTGTCTGTCCTAGTCTTCCTAGTCTGTCCCCCTCCGTCCGTCTTCCGTGACCAATAAGTACGTTTCTTCATCAAGCCCTTCTCTAGCAGGTTGCAGTGTGCCCCCCACAGTAGGCCCCAGCACCCGACTCGCGTCCCCACTTACTCATCGACTTTGTATGCGAGCGACCGCAAGAGCTCTTGTCTGGTCTCGGCGGCGGATCGCTCGGGCACAGACACGCCGCCCGGCAACCCCACGCCATTGCAAAACCTCACGATGCGCCGGACGTTTTCCTCCGAGGACTCCCGGCTGCCGTCCATTTCCACCACGTAGTCAAACTGACCATCCACCGGGTCCTCCGCGTCGTATGGCGCAAAGTTCCTGACGAACGAGTTCACAATCATCTTGGCCTTGCCGAAATCACTCTTGCTTTTGACCTGCGGATGGTTGTCGCCGCGCAGCGCTATCCGGCCTAGCACATGCCCACGCATCTGCTGGGCCAGGGTGCCTTTGGGTACGAAGAGGAGAGCCACGAGTGTGACGTTTTCCCCCTTGAAGTTCTCCACAATGTCCTTGCGGTGCATGTGCAAATGGTTGTTTCGGTCTAGCAAGACAGCATCCACGGAAGGGTCGCTCAAGGCAGAGGCGATCTCGCCGTAGAAGGCCGCTTTGGACTCGGACCTGTCGTTTTCAATGTGCACGAGCCCCGGGTACAACAGCCGCAACGTCCGGAAAACAGTGGACTTGCCACACCCCACGATGGAGATGGGCACAAAGAGAATCTTGGTCATGTGCGCCTGTTTTCGATGGCCCGAGGGCACCCCGCCATGTTCTTCCATCGCTCTACCGGCCGGTGCCCGATGCGCCCCGTACCTGCAGGACCGCTGCCATGGCGATCAGTCGAAGTAGATGAAGCCCTGTTGCTTTTCCATGTCGTGGTCCCAGCTGAAGACGTCCGCTGCATTGTTGAGGAGCTGGTGGTGCCCGTCACACACTTCTCCTTTTTCGTACAAAGCAGCAAGGTGCACATTGGACATTTTGGGCGCAATCGACTGGTCCACGGTGCCGACGGTGATATGGAGGTACGAGTTGGTGATGGGCGCTGCCTCGTGGCCCACTTTTGCCCCGTCTTCCTTCATCCTGTAGAGACTGGGAACAGCCACTTTCAACGCAACCAACGTCTTCTCGAACACCACGATTTTCTCGAGGCGCATATCTGTGTAGATGGGCACCGGCACCCGGGTGCCTGGAGCGGCGCTTTTGCGGTACACGTTTTTCGAGAAGAGTCTGCCCAAGTCTTGCCACGTGCTCTGGTACTTGGCCTTGTTGTTGCGGACGGCTTGCATATGGGCAAGCGTGACATGGAACTCGGGCTGGACTCGCCCGTTCTGCTTTATTGCTAGCCAAGTGGCATTGTCGGCAAGCACCCTGTCCAAGTGCGCCACGACGCTGTCGTGATCAACATCTATTCCATAGTAGATTGCGGTTCTCGAGGGCGCACTCACACGTTTTCTTGTTTTGGGCTGGTAACTCTTGGCTGCTGCGAAAGCACTCTGCCACTCGTCCTCGGAGAAGTCTTTGACTCTGAGATCAGGGTAAGCCCGTGTGAGTTCGTCGTAGATGATCCGGGCATTCTTCAACGACGAGTCTTCTCCCTCGACATCCAAATTGATCAAAAGGGAAAGCTCGCTGTCTGATCTGTCTAGACGCAGGCCCTCCACGACGCGGGGAAGCAAAGCCAAGTCTTCCTCGTCTTCCTTTAATTTAGGCGGCTGATATTTCTTGAGCGTGTCTAGCAACACCGAACGAGCAGCGGTAGGGGAGGATTTTGCTGCTATGGACTGATGGTTGTCGCCTCTCGCAAAGACGCGTTCTTCAAGAAGCTTGTACTTGCTTTGCGGCGACTCGTAGTTCAAGAAGTTCACGCCGATAAACTTGATCCCCACGTTAGGCATGATGTACCCGTCCTGCTTCAGGAAGATCTTGGTGAAGAACTCCTTGCGGTAGTTTTCTCGGTAGTTCATCCGGTCGAAAAACACCAATTTCTTCGAGCCCAAGAGCTCCAAGACCTTGTCGGTCACGTTCTGGCCCGAGGTGAAATCGTCGTTTTGCACGTGCTCCCAGTCGGCGCACATGTTGGCCAAGGTCATACAAGTCGTTGTCTTTCCACACCCGGGCGCGGCCATGGTCACCACGCAGTAAACGGTTTCTGTGGTGGAGATCAAGCGGTCAAATTTGGCCGCGATCTTCTCGTTGGCCTCCATTTGGTGTGGTTTGATCCCTGTGGGTTGGTCTGCCAAAAGGTCTTCCACAAACAACTTGCGGAGCTTGATGACCCCGATATTGGCTTCGAACTCCTCTCTTCGTTCGGGATACTTCTGGAAATACTCGCCCGCAAACTGCAAGTATGCAAAAGTGATCTTCCGGAATTTCGGGTACATGGACCTGATGTCGGCGAGCGGCCTGGTGTAGTCTTTCGGGTAGAATTTGAGAGTTGCCTCACGCAATTGCCGGTACAATGCGTAGGGTTGATCATACTTGTACTTGAAGAAGTAGTCGTCCCACGTAGACAGGTCTGCCATCTTCCGTTTGCATCTGACTACAAAGCCCTCCAACTCACGGCCGTTATAAGTGCCCACTTGATCCACGCTCTTGATAAAGTCCATGAGCTCATCGTACGTGGCATAGGACGTGTACTCCACCTCTCTGAAACCCCACGTCTTGCCAAACTCGGACACACGGTCCATGGCCGCAGTGGAGAAGTTGATCTCGTTGTGGTTGAGTCCGTGGAGGTAGAGCCCTGCAATCTTGTGCGGGTATTCTAAAATGTGCTCTTCGAATTCGTCGTCGCATAATTCGGCCACCGCAGTGACCTTCTGCTCGTATAACACTCGGGCGAGCTCCTCCGGCGTCTTGCCAATGGCAGCCAATTGCTTGTGGATAGCCTCGATTCCCTTTTTGTAATGCTTGCCCTGGGATTTGTACGTTTCCGTGTCGAGATCTCCCGTCATGTTTTTGGAGCACACGACAAGCGTGGAGTCCTCCAACCCAGCAAAGAAAATGATGCACCCGTTCTCCTTCGTAGACGCCACAAACGGCCCGCTGCACTCTTCTCTGAGTCTGCGGTCGCTCACAATATCAGCCTCGTTTACATTGAAAAACTTGTCGTAGCCGCGGGCAATAATCCGATCTTTGCTCGTGAACAAACCACGGGCCTTGCAGGGTAGTCTGTGCGCGTATTTGAGGTAGTGGTACTCAGGGAATTTCCAGCTATCGATAAAAAGCTGGCCCTGGGAGGTGGCCACTAGACACTCGGTCTTTGTGACGGCTCTTTTCATGGTTCCCTCAGCGACGCTTCCGTCTTTTTTTCTGGACTGGGAAGACATGGCGTTCAACTTGTCCATGAGATCCGGAAAGGATACTGCCAGAAACCCACGGCAATCATCTACACTTGAGGGGACGGTGGCTTCATTTCCAGGATTTTCTGGGGCGATTGGCATCTTGAAGTTCTGCGATCAATCGATTGGTCTTCTATATTTCAAGGCAGGCTCGATGAAATGAGTCCGAGTTGGCAGGACTTTTTTGTTTTGGGTGACAGAGGAAGTTCTTATCGTTCCAGACAGCCGTGGAGAAGTTCTGATTGTGTGGAGAACAGATACACGAAGATTTAGTACAAGACCGGCCCACTTGTTGATGGAAGCAAAGCACAGATGATTCTGCCCGATGCGCATCGACTACCGCGGAATAGACGGAGCCAGACCGGTCTTCCAATTTCGGACTACATGCTGAAAATTCGGCTGATTTGGCGGAGGGGGCTGCGGAAATACCCCAGAGACGCGAGCAAGCAAAACTCAAGAGTCTAGTCGAAAATTGCGCTGTTTTCAATACAGCGGGGTTTACTAATACGGCGGAATTTTCTGTCTGGACGCTTGGTACATTGCAACATAGTAGCCGGTTCGTCGCGCACTAATTAACTGGCAACCGTTCGGACGATGCAGAAGATGAGGAAAGCCCATGTTCTTTCTGGCTTTTTAAAAAAAGAGCCGGAAATGGCGGGCTGGCATGAAAACGATCATGCGTCCTCATTTTCTGTCGTAAGCCAAATGCATTGCAGGCCGAACCTCAGACGCTAGCCATCTTCAGGCGAACCCAAAACATTGCCCACTCTCAAACAAAAGAGCCCAAATCTTTTCTTGGAATCTATATAGCTCGGAACCCAATTCTTCTGTATATTTAACATATTTGTTTATTCATTTATCTCTGAATTCAATCTAGCTCTAGGATCAATGAGGTGTTTTCTGGGTGGGCGTGGCAGAGTGACCACGAGCTAATAGAAGACCTCTTGCTCTCATCGACAAGGCCATGTCTCAACGCTTATTATGACTTAAATTTTTTTGCCATTTCAAATGGCACTTGAGAAAACCAGTGCTTCTCGGCCTCATCCTTGTCTACCCGTCCGTTCCCCCGTTCATTGAATCGGGCCCCATACCAGGATAAGAATCCGGCGCACGTATGCACTCCTGGACTTCGAACGCACATACATACTAATCTCCATTTCTGGCCACCGGCTCGAACAAGCATCCGCGGGAACAAACCAAGTACGTTTCTCCTCCAATTCTCAAGCCGTGGAAATGCTAAATCTCGATGTTGATGTGGACGAGGCAGACGTGGCCGTGCTCTCGCAGCACCTATCCCGGACCAAAGAACTATTTTCCAGCATCAACAGCTCCCTTTTGACGATCACCTCCAAAACGCTGACGGCGTCCCGCAGCATCAGGCCCGTGTTTGCAGAAATCAATGCGCTCAACAAGAAAAAAAGCTCCATCGAAGAGGGGCTCGTGTTGCTCGAGGATGTCTCGAAGTACTCTGTGCGTGCGGCGGATGCCCAGCAGATTTTGGCGTCATCCATCGACGCCGTGGGCGTTGCCAAATACCTCCTTTGCTTGGAGCTGTCCAAGGCGCTTGCTCGGGAAATGAAGCAAAAGATCCGCGACTTTGACGGCGTGGTGATCGGCTTTGCCAACACCGTCGACAAGGCAGAGATCTCCATCGTGTCGTACTTTGCCAATCTTCTCAGCAAGATCGATCTCAGGGCCGGCGTTGTGCCAAGCATAGCCGACGCCGTCGGAATCTTGGCGTCTTTCGCGAAACTGGCCAACTTACGGACTGCCCACGAGACCTTGGAGCGGAGCATGGGTCTGCTCATGACCCTGCACTTGGCCCCGCTTGAGGCCGCGTGCTCCATACAAAAACGGTCTCCGAACGCGCCCTATGAAAGGGGCTCCTCGGGAATCACCGGTTTGGCTACTGAAATCCTTGTGTGTGTGGCGGGGTTGCGGGCCGTGTGCGACCAGCTCAATGTTCTGGGCTCTCCGGTCCCGGCCAACATTGTCACGGGATATATGGAGCTGCGGTTCTGCTCGGTGCTTTCCGCATACAACTCACAGCTAGCCGCCCAAGGCCTTGTGGGCCAGGACTTGGTGATGTTGGATGTCATCGACCAATTGGACACCTTGAACGCAGAGCTACACGTGCACAAGTTTGGCTTCGAGGATTCCCCGGCCACATCACGCGAGCTTCAGGCCTTGCTTGCGAAATGCCAGGGTTTATTTGCCGAATGGGCCAGGTACGTCGAGGCACGTGTGTTGCAGATCGATCGCCTCAACGAGCACAGCATTCCTGAGGTGGTCGTGGAGGTGATTTCCAAAGTCCGTCGGATCAGCGAATATGGCTCGCTCTTCACGCTCATGAAAAACAAGAAGTTGGGAAGCTGGCTCGACGTGAAGCCCCCGCTTCGTTTCATTGCCGTCTATACTTCCGTGGTGCAGGGTGCCGAGGCTCAGGCCAAAGACCACGCCGCGTTCTTGGTCTCGTCGTTCTTGCTGGATTTGATCGATGAATTGATGGTCAACATTGAGATCGGCTTGAAGGAGCAAGCCAGCGAAACCAGTTTGCGGAAGCTGTCGCAGGGGTTCATGCTCGTGAGGAACGTGGTCATGATCGAGACGATTGTCAATCGCCTGGAGCCGCTTTTCCTGAAGTTGGGCCCCATTGGGATGGAGAGATTGCAACGTCTAAAAAACCGGTTTTTGAAGGTTTTCCTCGATGACTGGAGCCATGCTTCCTACATCATCATCCGGGACATGACCCAGATCACAACTACCAATGCTCTACATGGCGGGCAGAACAGCACCAAGGAAAAAGAGCAAATCAAAGATCTTTTCCGCAACTTCAACGAGTCCTTCGAGGAGGCGCTCAAGCAATACGAAAAATTCCAGGTCCAGGAGAAGGAGTTGCGTTCGTACTTGAGCAGCGAAATCAAAAAGTTGATCATCAACGCCTACAACAAACTATATGACAAATACGGCACCGGTGAGTTTACGAAAAATCGGGCGAAATATATCAAGTACGATAAGATGCAGTTTGAAAGACTCTTGAATGAGCGATTATAGACGACAAGTGGGTGGGTCGTATTTGGACAGAGGTTGGGCTCGTGGACAATTAGGTGAAGTCTTTCTGCGGAGTCGGACCTCACGCGCGAAACTTGCGGTGTGACTTGTCATCTCTGTTATACGAAAACTTACGATCGATAAGAGAGAAGAAGCCTGTCTGAAGGATGTGTGAGAATGGAAATCGGTATTGAGTTCGCTTCAAAGTGGCACAACGTCGAGACACATATCACACAATATGCTTTCCCATCCACGCTCACCTCATGAAATCCTGCAAATTAGACTGGGGCGCGCAAACTTAATTTTTAGCTGAAGCGCGCGAGCTTCCAAAACAATCCTGTGAGGTTCAGATCTACACATCAGCCAGCGGGTCCTCTGAACTCCTTCCAGCCTAGACTAGCCGCCATAACATCTGGCGTGTGGGGGCAAATCACATGCGTTTGGGCAAACGGGAGAAAACTGCGTAATCCAATTGAAAAAAAAAAAGAAAAAGAGAACTGTGTGCAAATGCCATGCATTTTTTGTTCGTAACTCGTTGGGTTCGTATATGGTGATTCGACAAGGGAGTGATGTACCGGGAAAATTTTCTTACTTGTGGGGCTCGGCCATGCTGCCCGAAAATGCCGGGTGCGCTCCCTAAAAAAGTGGAGGTGTATCGACGTGTCATCGCACTGGTGCTGTCAGGGTGTGCATGTGCAAACGCTTGTGTCAGCATCCAGGTCACGGTTGCGCACGCCGCGAATGCAATCCAGCGCGGGAAGTGGGTTCCGGAAGCGCATGATCACGTGACATTCTTCTAAACGTGTGTATGGGGACAGCACAGTCCCAGGCACAGAGCTGGACAAAATCATGACTGTAGCAATAATGAACACGACACAAACATTTCGAAGCTCGCTGAATCACCTGACCAGGGCAATCTGAATAGGGGCCACATATGAAGAAGTGCTTGGCACGGAGAGGGAGTGCCAAGACATTTCTTGGCGGCCTGCATACGCGCCTCAGAAAAGTCTTGGCATTTCTTATACTTTGACGTCTTGACGTCTTATGCCATACTTCACATGCGGCATGCCCGGCAAGCGTTTCAGGCCAAAAATAGGACTCATACAAAACCTAGTCCATGTCCAGCCCCCCCCCC